GTTGTGAACAAGGTATGGTTTTAAGAAAATGTTAAAGTAGGAAGTAGGGTTTTTGTGGTGGTGGTGGTGAGTCTTTGAAGATAAATGCCTTGTGCAAGTAAAACCTCAAATAACCAGGATGGCTAGAAAACTAAATATAAACACACGTAGCACAGCAACTGCTTTTCGGGCCAATGCTAATTGACACAATAAACAACTTGTCAGAGTGCTTAAAAAAATAAAAATAAATGACTTTACCATGTCAACGAGTACTGATGTCTGGGTATTTGTTGCCAATTTCAGACCAGCCTAGAAACAGAAGAGCTAATATAAATGATTTATTCATTCAGATATAAGATAGCACTTTTTAATTCCCTCACTTCACAATCCATCTAGTTATGTATTTACTAAAGATGAGCATTTAGATGAAAAAATATTAAAAATTCTAATATGGGTTAGCCTCAAAATCATTGTCATCTCTAAGTGGGAATGAGGTAGGAGAAGCAGGTGGGGGTGGTGCAACATCTTCCATACCCAGACGTATTCAAAACAGTTACCGGTGGCCGTTTCTCAGGTTCAGAAGGCTGGGCTATCATGTGTACACCATCTTCATTCAGTCCATAGAGTTGCTCCAGTGGCCCTCTTGTAAGAGTGGCAGAGAACCCAGAAAGAAGGGGATAAGTCCATTTTCCTCCAGTCCTCATGTCTGGTGTGCAGACAGATGCCAACAGCAGCTAGATTATAAAGCCCACTTACTAGTAAGAGAAAAGAGGCATGAACCCCCACCAAGGGAGCCTGGGGGTGGAAGGAGAAGAAGAACTCTTCTGAGAGGACCTGGGAAAACTTCCTATAGGAGATTTGGTATGAGCAGGATCATTAACAGGTGGGAAGGCAACATGGCTGAGAAGGCTTTCTAAGTGGAATGAACCAACCTGTTATATTTTGACACTGTGATCACATAAAGCATTATGGTTAAATAGATACCTAAAGTATATCAATGGAAAATATGTTATTACTGTCAGGAATGCACTTAAAAAAACTACACATATATCCTGAATATACAAGTTATTTTTAAAAAGGACTAAAATCGGCCTTTATTCTGCTTGCCAAATGTCTACTATTTGAATTTGAAGAATAAAATGCACGCCGTTTCTGTTTGTTTCTGAGCTTCTAATTCCTTCTATCTCATGGGGCTCAATAAGAGGGTAGGGAAGGAGGTGGAAGAAAATGCATGAGATTTTCAGGAATGCCAACAATGTGTGCTGGAATCCCACTCTCACTGCTCCCATTCATCCTTCCAAAGGTGACACTGGTCTGTTGCATTCAAAGGGAGCTGGAAAGGAAGGCAACTTAATCCCTCCCCAAGGAGAAGTCCCAGAGGCTTCGCTAGTGGAGAGGCTGATAATAGCAATAATGACGATAAAAACGGGTGTAGGGGTGGGGTGGGGTGGAGAAGGGGCCCTGGTAACTTGGGATGAAGTGGGAGGAGGGGGTGGAGCTCGCCTTTGCAGGTGCTGGAGGAAGATTCGAAGGGATGCAAAAATCAGGACCATGGGAGCTGAAAGACAGGATGTGGGAGCACATCCAGTGAGCTCCCAGGGATAATGGAGAGCACACATTACATCATCGGGATCACTGAGACCTGAATCCTCTGAGGAAGTCCTGTCTTTTTTGTACTAGATGTTTTGAAGCTGAGCTAGAC